GCTCTGCCATCATGACAGGCTTCCATCCCACGGTCCTTTTGGACGATTATCAACCTCCGATTGCGGCATCGGAACAACAAAGTCCGAAGATCACTTGCCGTAACTTGGTTCAACTACGTAGCAACTACTCAATGCTCCTTCGCCAGTACCAACACCGGCTCAACCCGTCCACACCCGACAGCTGTCCCGCTTGCGACGTCTCTCCGCATGACTGTCAGCATCTCTTCGTATGCAGTTCCCGGCCAGACACCCAACTCACCCACGCGGACCTTTGGTCCAATCTGGTCGAGGTCTCGGCTTTCCTCCGTCTTCAATCAGCTTGGACTCCGGCTACGACATACACCACCTGATTGAATTCGTGGCCAGTAGGTCACTCTACTCTCTATCTAAATGGAAGCTACCTTCCCGCCTTGCCCCGGCGAAGGATTGATAGCGTCAATAAACGAAATAAATAAGGGGTGGACACATATCTGCTTCTACTTTTCAACAGTTAATCCAAATGCATGGCTGGGCTAATTAACCTAAACCCATCTGTCAATGTACGACAATCCGCGCTGCCGAAGTATTCTCTCTGGTTTACAGAGGTACGAGGGAGATTTTGCTCAAGAATTTGCTTTCCACACATGCAGTTTTGGGATCTTGTTAGAATTTGGGTGTCAAAATGCAGTTTAGATACCTATACAGACGTATTCCGAAGTCAATTATGCTTCTACGGTCAATCAAAGGAAGGACGGGTCTCTTTGAACGAGGAATCACCCTCTCCACAGCATGCTCAAGGATTTCAACTGCATTCAAACAACTGAACGTAGATTCATCATACGCACGCGAAGTCTGCAGCAGGCGTAAACCGAAAATATATATGACGGCACTGTAACAGTCCGTGGTCTGGCCTGGTTGCTCGAAAACGCTGACATTAATGATAACGAAGGCACCAAGTTCCGTGTAAAGTGCAGAAAAAGTTAGACCCACAAAGAGAACGGCAGGCTATTAAAGACAGATGACTGCGGACACTGTCCGTGAATAGCTTCATTTACGTAAAAACTAAACAGCTCCTTCACATCTGCTCTCTCCCATCTCAAAAATGATTTTGAAAAATGAAGCAAACTTGCCAATTCTTTGTCCTCGTCACCAGCGACTTCGGAGAATTTCGGTGGTTCCTTATTTGCCACTGCTACAACCTCAGGCAGTTCAAAATGCGCTGATCGTGTTGTGGCCTGAGTTGCAGCACCGGGGCTTGCCGCTTCTTTGACTTCTGCTTCTGTCAAAAAAAATATTATGTTAGTAGCTGGCGGACGGCTTGAATAAGGGGATCTTCAAGTTAACTGTGGCCTCAACACTTTCAGCTAGAGACAGCTGGGTAGGAGTGATTTACAACCAAAACAAATTAAACTGGGGGGGAGGGGGAGTAAAGAGGCATCAAAGTCCGATCTGGCTTTTTGTGAAGCTCAAGGACTTGAAACGGGTGGAGGATGTAACCAGGGTTCAGATGCGGTATTTAAAGCGCCCTATCGATGCGAACTACCGCGATATCCGCTGGTGACTGGCATGCACAGCATAAACAGAGGCTCTGGGTGTTAGATTAGCTTGACCAAATGCTAACAACATTTGAAGGCTTTCCTGAGGCGTTGAGCCCAGCCAAATGTCTTTATGTTTTCACTCGGACCGCCGTCAAGGTCATATGCCTTTGCGGTGGTCATGCCCGCGCGATGACTGTCCACAGACAATGACATTAAACCGGACAAATACACGCAAGTCAAAGCGCGTGCTCAAGTGG